TTTTTTTTGGTCGGTCATGGGGCTTGAACTCGGCTTGGACGCTGTCCCTCAGCTCTTCAGCTCAAGCTCTACCACTTGAGCCACACCACCACTTCCAGCTTGTTTTAATTTCTAGCCTCAGTAGATTTTTTAAGCTGTGGCCATCTGTGCTAGTTTGTCATAAAACAAAATAATTTAGTAATACAACTATATTAATCAGCCTTATATATTAATCTCATTAAATATGTTTCTTTGTGAGTGGTTATAAGAAATACCCTAGGTTGACATTATATTCTTTTTCATTTTTCTATTTTAGGGGCAGCTTCATGACTTCTGGGTACCAGATTCTTAACAGGAGTTAAGAGCAGCAAAGATATGAACCAAGAGAAATGCATTAAGAGCCTTCCCAAGAAAAATAGAAAAGATTAGTATGGAATCCAATGGATTGATACGAGAATACACAACAAATATTCCACTTGAATGTCTAGTATAAAGCTGGTAATGAAAAAATGCCTTCTGAAGCAGATATGAAATATAAAAAGCCAAGTCATATAAAAGGAGAGGTGGGATAGAAGCAGCTAGTAGACACTTATTTAACCTACCGTTATTAACTCTTCTTGTTAAATTATAAGCCAGTTATCTTTTTTTAGGTAGTATTTGTGGCACTTGGATAATCACAAGAACTAAGGAAGAAAAGAGTTTGTATCAACTTGTGTTGAACATAGAAACAAGACAAAGTTCCTGTTAAGTTTTTACTCTTGGTTATGTTAGGAAACAAAGGGAAAGCTTAGAACAGAGTTCAGTAATTGAAATCATAGACTCTTCTATAACTCCTGTATTTTCCCTCACTATTCAAGGTTAGACATCTATTAGGTTATTAGAAAACATTTAAACAGTTAAGAAACAGAAGTTTGGTATATTGTCAAATTCCCCTAAAAGGAAGAAGTTAAGCTGTGAAGTATTGGCTATGTTTTTAAAATGCCAAAACATTCATAAGTAGTTTGTTTGGGATTTGTTTTAAATGCATATATTTTCTTAAATACTAGTTAAGTCATAGACTCTTGGGTAAATCTTAGAATTCTTCCCCTTGTTAACTATATAACAGAAGTCTCTATTGTAAAAGCTTGAAGTTCTGGAAATTTTTCCCAAAAATTTTTTTTCCATGAGTATATAATTTCAGCAGAGATCTAGGTAGTGTTTATTCTTTGGGACACTGTGTGTGTGAGTGAGTGTGTGTGTGTGTGTGTGTGTGTGTGTGTGTACTTATATCTTGAAGTTGTTGCACTTGAAAACCACAGCTGCTCTAAATTCTTTTAAACACTGGAAAGCCATTCTCTGGTTTAAATGGTGGAGGGTTAGTAAAAGTGCACATGTTAGTCTTATCCCAGGGGTCTTTGGAAGCTTTTGGTAGTAATGGACTCTTACTAACCAGTGGAAAAATTTTGTTGTTGACCAAGTGTCCCTTTTAGGATTTGTTTCCTGAAAGAGAAAACTATTTTTATTGTTCGTAAAATACTAGATTGGGTGACTTGCTCTTCGCAGAGCAGTCAGTGTCCAGCTATAGAAGGGGAAGATGATGAAGAGGAATGGATGTTTTTGGTTTGAGAGGGAAGAAAATCACTTTTGAAAACTAACTTTCTACCTCTAAATAGAGGCTTAGGAGTAAAAACCATTTTATCTTAAATTTATCATTTACTTTTGAGCTCATGTCAAGTATTGGGCAGTTAGAGATTTTATAAGTAAGATTAGATAAATCTAGTTTGCAAGAACCCAAGCTGAATGACTCCAGGAGTCAGACCAACAAAAGTTTTATTCTGTGTTGAGTTTACTGGTAAGAATTTATCTTGATACTACCTCTCAAGGGTATTAATACAAAATGCCACTTATGGTTAAAGAGATAGATACAAAGAGTTATATTTGACAGAAAGTTTGAACTCTGGCAT